CGCTTCGGAGTCGGTCTTCTTCTTCGCCGTTGGCGTACTTGGTAGCAATCTCCATCATCCGACTCAAGGTCATGTCACCGGTTCGACCAAATTTCAAACTTAATTCTCTGTTCTTGACGCCATCTTTAAAGGCGCAGACTGCCTGATGATCAGACACATTCTCCACAGTATGGTGCAAAGTGATCCATCTCTGAATATACTCTCTGAGAGTCTCATTGGTCTTCTGCACACAGACTTGCAACTCCGTCAGTCCAGCCGGTCGCTTGCAAGTTCCTTCAAACGTTCTGATGAACACTCGGGACAGATCTTCCCAAGTGTAAATGCTGCTAGGAGGTAATTGAGTCAACCATGCCCTGGCAGAACCTTCCAGCATGAGGGGCAAATGCTTCATGGCCACCTCGTCGTTCCCACCACCAATCTGAACTGCCACTCGGTAGTCCTCAAGCCAAGTTTCAGGCTTAGACTCACCAGTGAACTTGCTGACTCCTGTTGCCAACCTGAAATTGGGAGGGATAACTGCGGCTCTGATAGCTCTGCTGAAACATTCAGGACCAGAAATATGCACTCGACTGCTTGTGGGCGCATCTCTGTCGAGTCCGCCTCGGTGGGCTCTGTTCCGGTCGACCAAACCTTGCACGATAATGGATCGCGCGTCGAAGCCTGGTTCTCTGGGGTCGACTGGAACTCTTCGCCCCGTACTGAACTGACGCCTGTCATCTTGCTGCCGAGGAGCGTAAGACCCACCCCTCGGAGGGGAATTGGGCACTCGACGCCTATCATCTCGGTCGAGTCGGTCACCATATTGGTCTCGCCGATTCTCGCGCCCTTCACGCCGCGGAGGCGATCTGGGACTGTGAGCCGACTGAACCGTATTCGCAGCGACGGATCAACTGTGAATTCTGTTGCGCGACTGAGACACGGCCGAATTCTGATCTCCTGCTGCCCGGAGCAGATCCCTGATCTGCATCAAGCCTCTGCCAGCTTCCGACTGAGAAGGCTGGATGGACTCTGCTATACGGGTCGCAGCTGCTAAATTCTGGATTGGGGTTCGATATACCTGAGTCGGCGGGAAGAGTTGACGTCGACTGGTGTCAGGAACTCGTTGCCGCGCGCGCTCATCGAGTGCTCGCTGAAGATTCTCCAGTCGAGTGCGTTCGGCCAAATTGGCCAAACGTGCCTCCTCCAAGGCGCGAGCCTCGGGGGTTTCTCCTGCGATGGGAGTACGCAGGGCATCCACGTTCCTGCGGCGAAGTTCCTCTCTTTGCAGAGAGTCGAGTGGCTCGGGCTGGTACTCTTCGTGGTCTCGTGCGGGGTCGCCTCCGTCGCCTGCTCCACCATCACGGGCGAAGCCAGGGGGACTGCGGGGCCCGTCGACCATCAGAATTTCTGCCGCTGGATCACTGCTATCGCACTCGGATGCGGTCTCTACGGAACGAGTCGACAGATCGAACAGGTCGTAGAGAGATTCGTCGGGCTCGATTGCCGCAACTTGGGTGGTGGCCGTCTGGCGAGCCACCGCGTGCCTCACCCACCGCTGAATCCTCGACCGGCCCGAGCGCTTGCGCTGGCGGGAGACCGGGAGGGTGGCCGATGGGGGAGTCGACAGATACGGGGTCGACGGTTGCCGCAGCAGAACGCCGCGGACACATGCGCGAAAATGCGTCGCACCGCGGACGGGGAGCGCATCGACGTCGAGTGGAGCCTCCTGGAGCCAGGCGGAGTCGTCGGCGACGAAGGTGAGAGCACCGAGACGGATCTCTCGGCCCTCGACCAAAACTCCAGCAGCCACCATGATGAAAGTACTCGGAAGAATCGCAACTTCTGCACAAAATCGCTAAAACACCGGCCCCACGGTGGGCGCCAACTGTCGTGGTTCTAAACCTGACAGTAGAGTGGGGGGTAGGTATGGACAGGCAAGGTCTTAGCTATGGAGAGGTTGTAAACACAAGAGATGTACGAGTTCAGGCCCTTCTCGGAGGAAGTAAAAGCCCTACATCTCGGAGCCCGGTGGCGGTCGAGTGGATTATATGTATATGAGTTACAGGGTGCCGAACCCTTCTGCCTGTGGAGGGGGGTGGCTTATATAGAGTGCGCCAGGACCCCAGCCAGCCCACGCAGGAGAGGGTTTAAGATGAGTTAAGTCCGGGGCGTTACTGGTAACGCTCCACATAAAGTGCCTTTACTATCATAAAGTCTACTTAATTACAGGCCGTTGCAGTGCAGAGTGCCTCTTGACCTTCTGGTGGTCGAGTGAGTCTTCGTGGTCGAGTCCTTCAAGTCAGTCGAGTGAGTCCCTCGTTGGTCGACTGGAAGGTGACCTCTTCTAAGGGTGTCCTTGGGCAGGGTACTTAGATCAGGTTCGTGACCCTACCCTAGGTACATGACCCCATCACTGACATCTTCACGAAGCCTCTTCCACAACCACAGTTTGTAGGCTGTAGGCGCAATCTTAACTTACTTTGTACTTCAGGTTACAGTTAAGATTGAGGGGGGGGGATGTTAGACTATATATACGTAGTCTTGTACATGACTTGTATTGTACCTCTTGGTACGTCTATATAATGAGATAGCCACACCCCGTTTTAGGGTGTCGAGCAGTTCCCCCAAATTTACGTTTTACACGGCGGGGGTCTCCTGGAGGCCGACGAGCGCAAGGGGCAAGGGCGGCCGCGGAGCTCCCTGCTCCTCTCCTCCATGGACGGCGGGGGGCTCCTAGAGGCCGGCGAGCGCAAGGGGCGAGGGCGGCGGCGTAGCTCCCTGCTCCTCTCTCCATGGGCTTCTTTTTTCTTATCAAGACGAACCGGTACGTTTTGCGGGGGCGAACGTTTCCGAGCAAATCAGAGGGTTCGGGCTCGGTATTCAGGAGGGACGTGCACAAGTGAGAGGATTCAAGCTCTGTATTGATATCCATTTCCATCGTCCAATACAGAGGACATCCAAACAGCTGAATTGGAGGCTGCCAATACCAATTCCCAATTCAGAGGCTGAATGCAGACATCCAAACGCAGTGTTATATTATGGGACTGGGAGAGTACTTTATTACAAGAGACATGCCGATGCCATGATACGAGAAAGGGAGCAAACGTCAATGAAGAACACACACATCATTTGCACAATTGTCTTCGCGCAGGAACTAGTCAGTGTTTTTTTTTCTTTTTTCCGAGAAAGGAACCAGCTACTGCTGCCGTTGCTCCTCTGACGCATCCACCGGCACCAGTTGAACAAAACCCAGGTGATCCTCCTCAACAGTTCTCCTCTTGGATGGCTCCAGGAGCAGCTGGCATCTCATCAACAGCAACAGCACACACCGAGAGTGGTCGCGCACGAAGATCCTCGTTTCATGCTCATCCTCCCCAGGACGCAGTTCAGATCTCACCAAGGAGACGGCCGCCCCTGAAAGCAAAGATGGTTCTGTAAGGTCCAAATATCACTCTAAAGAGTAGAGCAGCAAAGAACATCCGTCAGATCCGCTGCTCTCGGTCCACCCGATGGAGTGCTTCCGCGAGGTTCAGTGTGATGTTTTAGATGTACCCCACATTAGATGTTCCACTGAACCTCATGCTGATTTGGTTGCGGTAACAACCTACTAACCTAGGGTCATGCGGAACGAAAGCAGGGTATCACAAACACTAATCTGAGGACTGCCCCTGTTTCAGCCCTGCTTTACAGCTAGCTATTCTTTCAAACCCTGTCAGGCCCATAGTAGCCGGAAACGGGGAACTGTAGGCCGTCCCTCGATCCCGATTCATCGACCCGGAATCGGATTCGGGAACGAGGTCGGATTCGGTACGATTCGATGAAGATTCAGCGTCCCCGCAGCCTGCTCCTCGATTCAGGTTCCAGGATCCAACAACCAAAACGCCAGGCATAATTTACTCACGCCGTCGTTTCTTTTCTCAAGGACTCCTCGTTCTTCCTCAAGTCCATTAATTGCAAGGGATATCCATTAACAACAAGGAATGCTGACCGTCAGGGAGTCGTCGTTCTTCAGGAACTGCGTTCCCATGATACCGTACCGGGTTCATCGTATCCAAACGGATTGGATCGCGTCCCCGCTATTAAAAATTCATTCTAGAGATGTATACCCTCGTTGTCCCCTATTTTTTTTCAGCCGTCGACTCTCGTCCCTCGTTCCCGTTCCTCGTTCCCACCGTACCGGAAACATGGCAACTGACTCAGGCCATGTTGGCTTAACTAGGTTTCATTATTGCTCTAATCCAATAAAACCAGAACATCATCCCTCACCGTCGCCGTCGCCGGCACGGCAGGCCTGGATCCTGCACCCGACGCGTAACACCCTCCAGACTTCCGAGCCCCAGCTGGGCAAGGCATTACCTGCACAACGCTCACCGGTCTGTCGACGTTACCGCAGATCGACCAGACAGCCGTGGTGAGGGACAGACACCCGTGGCCCTTCTGCATCGTGTCGAACACCCTCAGCTTCTGAAGTGGAGTACATTTGGGTTATGCAGAATGAAAGCAGGGTATGAGCAGACACTAGTCTGACGACTGCTCCTGTTTCAACCCTGCTTTACAGCCATGTTTAAAACCCCGTCAGGCCATGCTGGCCTAACTATTTTTCGTCATTAATTTCTCGTATCAACAAAACAAAAAGGAACAAATAACACCGAAGATGGATTTGTCAGTGTAAAGCTCAGACTATTTTACCTACTTGGCAGAGTAAAAGAAGCCAAACAGCGAGCTCTCTGCCTCCAGAACAAATAACCAGACAAGAAGCCCTCTTATGCGAAGGGAACATACAAATAACACGATAACAAAGGAAACAAATAACAAAGTAGCACGATATCTACTACCGAAGGGAACATACAAATATCCCTGCACTTGCACTTCGATTTCTTATCTCTGCTTGGAATACGTTGGAGATTTTATAATTCACGGCACATACATACCGGAGTACTGGAACTGCGTGCTAGTAATACTATGGAGTTTCGATTAAGTTGGACGGCGCCTTAGCCGTCTCGATCGACCGACCTAAATCCTCATCCGTGCCTCCGATTTCTTATCTTCGTTCTGAGCAAGGGCCACCGGAATGAGATAGAATGGCGTCTGGCTGGAATGGCTGCCATCCTCGGGGGAGAAGGGCTATCAAATTGGATATTCTGCCAAATATAAAATAAAGGAAGTCAATATTATCATTGAGGCAAACAAGAAGAATTGCGAGGAGAAGAACATGAAAATTGTACAAGGTTCTTAGAAAAAATTCATCGACGAAGTGGAGAGCTGAAAAAGAAGATGTGATACTACTGATGAGAAACAAGTTCCAAATATGCAAAATTAATAGGAATACCTATATAACAGATATATAACAGGAATACCTATATAACGTACCTATATTATATCGATGACGGAATACGTTCAAAGTGCAAAGTTAATCTAGCACATACCTTTTCATTTATGTGAGCAAGCTTCATCTTGTTCTCCTCTGCTTCACACCACTGCTTCAAGTTAGGGCAGTAGCGAATATCTAATTCTTGGAGATTTGTGAGCTGTTGTATGCTATTTGGCAAAGTCGTCATAGCTTTGCATTCAAAAAGTACAAGTTTCTTGAGAGAGGTAAGTTCTCCTAACCACGGTGGCAGCTGTCTCAAGCTACCACAGAAATACAGTGTTAAAGAATGCAGCTGTTTGAGTTGCCTCATGTTATCGGGCAATTCCTCTAGCTTCTGATAAGTTTGTATCCTCAGTTGCTGAAGATATGTCAACTCGCCTATCCATTCTGACAGTTTTGATTTGTACGAGATCTTCAATGTCAATGACTTGAGGGACTTGAGGGCCCAGGTGATCTCTGGTGAGATTGTCGACTCAACGCAACATTGGATCTGCAAAACACTGATGGCAGGTAGGTGGTGAAGCAATCTCCACTGATGCAGAGGCACAACCCAGCTGTGAACTGTCAGATTAGTAGATGCTCCTACTGGAGAAGAAGATGAGGAAGCACCACTGTGCGACACGTTCTCTGCCCATGATATGAGCACCTCATCACTTTCCATTATACTCCAAGATGTAGCTCTAGGAAGGTGTGGCTCTATCCTCAACTTGGGGCAATGATGTATATTCACTTCCTCAAGCTTACGGAACATCAGCTCATTGATTCTAGCATCACCACTAGAGTCTGCTGTGATCCATTCTTCCAGGCTTTCCATGTATTCGAGGGTAAGGACTCGGAGGTTTGGTAATTGGGCGAGGGGTGGAAGACTTCTGCAGTTGGGCAAACAATTCATCTCTATTCGGACAACATTAGGGAGATAATCCCCAATACTCATACTCATCAGCCAGTCTGGAAAGCTGACACTAATATATCCATATATCGTAAACCCTTGCAAAGTGGTTGGTGCCACTAGCTCCCTCAGCAACTCAAGGTCATCCACAGATCTCGTAGCTTGTGGGTTCCACTTTAATGTCAATTCTCCAATTCTCTGTTTCTCACTCAGTTTTATACCGCGTGCCTCTTCTAGGGACTTCACATTTTCAAGTCTATCTATTTCTAGCTTGTCGGGATTTATATGCTCAAGCACGCCAAGGTTGGTGTTACACTTGGTATCCGCACTTACAGAAAATGTTGGGAACGACAAGCCAAAAAGGCTGGGACGGTCCATTTTAGCCAAACATTCTGGAAGCCTGGCAACTTGGCAGCACCCGTCAAGGACAAGCTTCCTGAGGCAACTAGCACTTTCTGGTATACTAACAAGAGGGTGGTCATTATAAGACAGGTCCAGGTGCTCCATATTGGGAAGGGTACAGATACAGTCAATGAAACTCTCGGCTTGATCTGTTGATGACCTGTCGAAGATATGCTGCATGCATCGTGACAGATTCAGATATCGGAGTTCGGTGAGATTGCGGATGACTTCTTGCAGCCCTCTGAGATTTTGACAGTCTGATAGTCCCAAATACTGGAGTTTGGTAAGGTCAGTCAAAGCCTCAGGTATTCCTACAATATAACGATTGAATGTTAAGTTCAGATATATCAACTCTCTGAGCTTCGCAAACGAATGTGGGAGTTCTTTCAAATCCGAACAACCTGATAAGCCAAGATACATCAGGCCTTCAATTTCACCAATTGACTCTAGCAATCCTGATAATCCTTTACTAAAACTAAGGTCAAGAAACTTCAATTGTCGGAGCATACTGATACACCTGAGATTTGTTCCGTCCTGGATATTTACAGCAGCAAGAAACCTCAACTGCTTGAATTGACCAATACAATCTGGCAACTCATTCAAACCAAATGTGCTTACAAGTAAAACACGGGCGTGCTTGGCTGGTGAATATGCATCATGATGGAACTGATCTGGCCCTGAATCATGGTCCACAATATGCAGTGCTCTTAGCTTTTTATGTGAAATCGCGAATGACTTTAATGGCTTCGTAGAATCTGTGAGCAGTGCGTATCGGCAGTTGGCTCCCGCTAAGTTAAATTCGTCAGCCATGACCGATTTTGCGAGGTCATGCACCAGGTCATGCATAGTGTACCGTGTGGTAACATCATTTCTTTGGTACCGTGCTTCAGCATCATCCTGCACGAATAACACATAATAGTGGCGTAAGGACATGGAAGGAATACAACAAGAAGATTATTAACCGGGCATTAATCTCGGTCTGCAATTCAGATGTTAGTTTATTTCTGGAAAGGCTACTGCTATGTTCGTCTCATCTATTGCTTACTTTCTAGTAGTACCACTTGGTTTTCATATCTATTCTTTTCTTAAGAAAAAGAAGGGTCCCAAAGGACCTGATGATGGAGTATAACAAGACCCTAAACAAAAGGGAAATAACAGACTGGTCCCTAGCTGTTACAAAGAGGACCCCAAAGAGCCGAGAAAATTGCAATCGATCCCTATGCATCTCCGCCATGACTCGTCATCACCAGGGACCACACGGGGCAAACCCTCCATGACACCACACCATAACTCCACGATTAAGACGCACTGCCTCCCATCTAGCATCTTGGCCGGGAAGAAGGAAGGCTGCCATTCGGCCAACAGATTCAATAAGAGTTCAAAGACAACCGACAATCGACTGCGGGGTGCGGCCATCGGACTGCGGGGTTCCCAGCTCCGGCAGTCCGTTATCCAGCTGCTCCCGGTTCTCCGCATCGGGACCTCCATCACGGTTGGGTCTGGGACATCCACCCTGTTCTGGTTCGACCGATGGGCTAGGGACTACCCTTTTGCTTCCCGCTTCCCGGATCTATTTTCCATCGCGGTGGAGCCTAGGATGTCCGTCGAGATGACCCTTATTAACTTAGGGTGTCTCGCGCTCCGGCGGCCATTTGGGCCCCCGGAGATAACTACCTGGCATTAGCTCCTAGAGGCCGTCGCGCTTCACAAGCCTGATTTGGAGTAGACGCATGACCGCTTATCCTGGCACCTAGCTAGAGCCCTCGGGCAAATTCTCCATGAAGTTCCTGTACCAGGCCATTGGCCCCACCCAGGCCTTGCGGCACTGGAGATGATGCAGGCTATACATATCCCCCTCAAGAACGAGATCTTCTTGTGGCAATGGATCCACGGCTGGCTACCTTCCGGTGTGGAGGTGTTAAAATGGAATGGCCCGGGTGATGGGACTTGTCCCCTTTGTTGGGACAGAGGAAGACTCAAACCACATCTTCTTCTCGTGTGTCTCTGCCTAGTTCCTCTGGAGCTGCATCCACGAGGTAGTCAGTGGTAGTTGGTGTAATACCAACATCCCGGATCTCTTCACCGAGGTCCAGGCATCGACCCCGTCGGGCTGCCACATTAGATGGCTTCTCATTGTGGTCCTTGCTTGGAGGCTCTAGATCGTACGCAATAAGCTCGTCATCCAGCGTGTGCCTCTTCGACGTGCCACTACCGCGGTGCTCAAAATGTGTCGTTATTTGCAGCCTTGGCAGCCGTTTAGTCTTCACCAGGACCGGGACACCATCAACATCATCATTGCTGACCTTCGCGTGATGGCTCTTCGCTTGGCGCCTCCGCTTCCTCCTCCACTACCTGAGCCGGATTAGCTTCTTAGCTGCGGTATTACCGCCCTTTTCTTCTTTTTTCAGGGCTTGGTGAGTTGTGCCCTCAGTAGAACCCTCATGTACCCTATGTTATGCGACTTCGTGCGTGTGTATGTGGGGATTTGTATGGTACTCTGTGGCTGTGGTGGTTTGCTTTATCTATAAAGCGGGGCGAAAGCCTTTTTTGGTAAATTAAGTTTCCACAAACTCTAATCCTAGGCTGATGGCAGGCTGTAGGTGATCGACAATTCCGTGTCATCCTCTAATGACATTGAAGACTTGTGATCTGCCATGCGTTCCGGTCTCTACTTCAATCAAATCTTCCTCTAGTGCTCCTATACTATTCTTGGGTCGTTCCTCAACAGCCAAACCATCAAAGTGTGCAATTTTTATCCTCTTAAATACTGAGTAGATATTTAGCACATCTAGCAAATACATGACTACATTACATAATTCTATCATTTTCTAGGATTGGGAGTATAATTTAAAAATGTATCTAGCAAAAGTTCATGTTTCGTATGGAATTGTTAGATTGCGTCGACAATGATATAACAGACAATGACTTTGCATCCATGAATGTTAGAAGAAAATTTAAGGTTATATATTGATTTTGGGCACATTTAAGTTCTTACTAGTAAGATTCTCTCTATACAAATTATTGTTTTGATGATTATACTAAGGGGGTCAGGTTCTATTCTAGCCCTGGACCCCCCGTAATCTCAGGACCGGCCATGCAAGCAGCACGCATGCCACCGTCACCAGCACCATCTCAGCGGTAGGCCGGTAGCCATGGCCCGTAGCCAGCCTCATTGACTCCCAAGCTCATGACTAGCTAGCGGCGAACAGGAAGTCTTCTTTGACGCGGCTCACACTGCGTCACATGATGGTGACGGTAAGTAGTAGATTATTTGCCCATTGCCCGTCTTTATCGCTACATATGCTACAGTCGATGGCTCGTGCAGCTTTTTATGGCCTATTTTCTGAATTACATGATTTCCTGGTTTTTGAAATCATTGGCCATGGGTGGCCTGTGCACATGGACATCTAATCATCGATCTTTCTACTTGGGATGTGTGGACTAACTTATTTTCCTTTCTTGCCACAGATGGATATGAATCATACAATGCACTAGAATAAAATAGTATCATACTGAAGGTATGGGTTAATCTACTAACCTTTGCAAGTTGAAGAAATGACATCTCCTGAAGCTGCATAAGGTAACTCTCACCGAGTTGCCAATTAGAGAATGTACTAGAGGGCTCCATGAATCCAAGAGCAATCCATTGATAAATTAGATGATTTTTAACCATTTTGAAACCCTTTGGAAAGATTGCACAATAAGAAAAGCATAACTTCAAGTATGGAGGCATGAAGTTGTAGCTTAACAGCAAGGATCCAAGCACTTCATTTCTGGATGATGCATCTATAGAAGTAGAAAGTTTCCAAACATGATTGGTTCTGACCCAATCCCATTCTCTATAGGGCTTGGACTTCAACATGTGTCCAAGTGATTGAGCAGCTAAAGCTACACCTTTGCACTTCTTTGCAATTTCCCTTCCAATCGGCTCCAGTCGCTCTTTGTCATGCCTTGTTTCAAAATTACATTTTTGCCTCATTATTCCCCAGCACATCTCATCTGATAATTGAGGTAAGTTGTATGGTTGAACAGTACTGATTTCATTTGCAATGCCTTCATCGCGTGTGGTAATTACAACCAGCACCTTGCACCCCTCACCCTGCATCAGCATAGCCTTTAACTTTTCTAGTTGAGAAGGATGCTTCTCCCACAGGTCATCCAAAATGACCAGAATATTCTTCTTCTCAACAAGTAGCTTTTGCAGGCGAATGTTAATAGTATGCAAATCATGTGGCACCTCTCTCTGTTGTTCTGGTTCTAATAGTTGTGATATTATAGTTCTGCCAATTTTTTTCAAGTCAAATATCTGGGAAACATAAACCCATACCCGAGAGTGTATTTCAAACTTGCGATCATTATATACTGATCTTGCCAAGCTGGTCTTTCCAATTCCTCCAAAGCCCCATATGGGAACGAACGTGGTCCGTTCAGCGGTGCTTCCAGATAATCGACCCAAGATTTCTAGTTTTTCGTCGATCCGCCCGATCATTTCTGCTTCCTCCACGGTCCCTGCATTTTCCCGGATATCAGGAAGTTGCTGTTCGTTGTTGCGAATTTCTGACGGAACACTATAATTGTGAAGGTCTTTTGTTATATCCTGTAGACGCTTTTGCATCTTTTTCATCTTGTCTGGCATATTAATCTTCTTCTTCATAGCTTCAAACTGCAAGAGGCATGATCTGTCAGTACCATGGAAGACATGAAAAGCATACGCATGCAGTGGTAATTTGATCACATGATGTTGTAATTTAATTTAAGAAAAGCATAGGTGTGGTTGTAACACTCCTCGATCGACTGGAAAATAGAACTGGTGGCGCGGCGCAAAAGGACTCCCCCTCCCCCTCCCGCCCGCGCCGCCACCCGCGAGGCGGCCGGGGCGGGCGCCCAGATCCCGCCGCCTCCGGTCTTCCCCCCTCCTCCTCCTTCCTCCCTCGCCGCCGCCAGGGGGCACGACCGGGCTCGCCTGACCGGCGCCGGCGGTGGCGGGGCCCTGCTCTTCCTCCTCCGCGCGTTGGGGGCGACGCGGGTCCCTCCTTCGCGGGCGGGCGCGGCGCGGGTGCGGGGCGCCGCGG